TCCAACGCGATCCGTGATCATGAAGGATTGCTTCAGTTTTCTCGTTATTTTTAGAGCGTAGTGCTTGGGGCACGACTTTTGAATGATTGTGTATGGCATAGTGCAATGTCCAGGGTGAGACGTGTGGGTTTCATGTGTTAGTGCATGGGTTTTGCAACCGGAAAGGTCAGGTGTACGGAGTGAGGGTTTCTTGGGAGAAAAGTGTTACCTTAAGAGGTTAGTGGTCACAATTTGGGGCGGAAGTTCTTTTCGAACTGGTCGTGGTAGGTGTGACAGAAGTTGTTTGAGTCACGAATGTAGTCTATGGATTATAGATATGTATTGTGAGTATTCTGATGTGGTCTAAGAAAATGTGTTGGTTGCGGTTGGTTGAGGGGTGATTTTTTTTCATTTCGAAAAGTTTTGGGAGTGTGTTACAGGTAATCGATTTTCGGTGAGTCGATTGCATGGCTCGGTCGATGAACGAGGTTTTAGGTTGGCACAATTGTCTAAAGAGTCACGAGGTGGAGTATAATGGTTAGTTTTAGTTGTGTAGTATAGGATTGCATGATAAGGTAGGTAGTATGTGGTCATTGGTATGTTTGGTTATTGTGGATGAAGTGATTGATGGTAGGCATTGTGTTACTAAATGGATTGTGTATTAGAATTTGAAAGCTATGGACTGGAGTTGAATTTCATGTTGCGTCTGGGGTAGGAGGAAGTAGTACTTGTTGAATTTAAAAGCTATGGACTGACGATTGGAATGTTTGGGATGAGGGTGACCTCGTAGGTTTAGCCGGTAGCCCCATTTGACTTTTGTCGGGGCCAAGGGTGTTTTGAGGAACGGTAAAGAATGAGAGTGATGGTGTTGGTGCTAGGGCGTAAGGCTTCTTTGACTGAGTGTGTAGGGTGTTTTAGGAAGAATGGTCAGAAAAGCCGATTAAGTATTGGTGACTGGTTGTGTTGTAGATGGTTTTAAGGAGACAGTTGGGTATTGAGCATTCTGGTTTTTATGCTCATTCATTTTCTTTGGGATCTGTCGGTATGGTATTGCAGTGCAAGGGTTCTATCCTAGTGGTATGTAGTGGTTACTGTAGGGAGCATCGAGAGTGAGGCATACTCTCTTGTTATGATGGTGTTATCCTAGGGATGCTCGAGGAGAGATCGCTTGGCGGTAGCCTGTTGAGTCGGTGAGACGAGAGTTTGAGTTGTCATTCAAGGATGATGGTAGTAGAAGCGTTATAGCATAATGTTTAATACTGATAAACAGAATGGTTTCAGGTATGATCCGAGGATAGGTTAGAGATTATGAGTTGTTTGTTGTGTGTTATCAGGTAGGTGATGGGATTGTGCGTTAGTCGAGGCTATTGTGGGCTATTTAGCCTTTTAGAGCTAGTGAGGATCTGGCACCTTTTTCTTTTGACGAGTTAATGGGTTGTTGCGATTGAGGCCACGAGTCTTGTGTGCACGGTGATCGAAGCAGTATCATCTAGAAGGAAGAGATGGAATGGGTGGTAAAGTGTCATTTTATGGCATATGGGTTGTCATTTGGGAGTGACGGGACGCGGTGTCCGAAGGGCTGTGATTATTTCTAGTGTTGTATCTTTGTACTTGACGAAGGGGTGGTGTAGACCTGATTAGTTTGGGTTAACATGGGTGTTGCCGAATGCCGTATGCGAGGTTTTCGTGTTGATAGTGTGTGACGGTTCGTTAGTGGCGAGGCCGCCTAGAATTGAGGTCGTAGTCCTGTATGTGTTTCCAGTTGGTTCTCCTTCTTGTGCGTAGGAAGTTCGTCTCATCTCAGGTGAAATTGGGTGTCCGGGGTTGGACGATTGGTGAGAAGTGTGTGATAGGGTGTCTGGTTCATTCAGGTGCGAGTTGTTCGTCTTCGTCTCTTATGAGAGTGGGGTTCTTTACCCTTCCCGTTTATTCTAGTCCTGGCAAGGACGTTGTTTGTCGTATATCTTGTCCTCCATCTAGGTCTTGTGTGCGTCCGCGGATGGACGGACCTGGGTATAATTTGTTGCGCTGTTAAAGTTCACTGGTAAGGTTCGATTGAATAGGTCGACTCATTTCCATGGAGGAAGGTGGAGCCTTTGGTTTTGGTGGTGCTTGTTCTGAAAGTGTTTTTGACAGGTAGTGTGTGAGACGCGGGTTGCTGAATAGGGATTGTATGTTTTCAGTGTCTGGTACTAGCGGTGATGGCTAGGGATATACCGTGAATTGTAAGTTTGAGGATGGTTAGGTAATGTGATGCGAATCATGTCTTGGATGTTTTTATAGGCGTCTAATTCGAGCAGTGTCTTGAGGACAAGTGTTGGTATTGTTTGAGTGCTAAGCAACTTAAGAAAGAGAATGTGTGATTTCATTGAGGAATAGTAAGAGTGATTGACTTTAGTTTTGAGGTTTCAGGCATGAGACTGGTGTATTGTGTGTTCTGAAGAGGTAAGAATTGAATCGAATGATGTTGTGAAGTCGATTATCTGGTGTGGGTGTTATGAGGAAATTAGAAATCTTTTGTACAGGTTAATGGTTATGATGTTTAGTGTCGTGCTGCTTTTAACTTGTTATGATTGTGTGATTAAGGCATGATTGAGATTTTTAAAACTGGTAGGTGATTTCTTGGTTGTTGAGGTTACGTATAGCGATAGATGGATAGTGAGTGGATCTCATTGTTGTGTTATGGACTGTGTAAGATTGTATTTGAGGTTTGGACCAGAGGACAGGAATGACGTCTGTGTTGAGATTGGATCGATGATGAGAATGGCCTGGTCAACCATTTCTCCTGAGTCCGTCCATCTTTAACACGATGTCGGGTCAAAGGTTCATGATTGTTTTAGTTTGTCAAGAATAGTGAGAGTACAGTATTGCGCAATGTGTCGGTATGGTGGTGTGGATTCAGGTGGTTTGTCTCGGGTGACAAGGTGTGCTAGGTGAGACCAAGTGTCTGATAAAAGGGGGTTTGTGGTACAATAATTGATTATTGAAGATCTTGTTTTGAGGAATTGTGTCCTGAGTATGGGATAATGCACTTTATTGTTTCGGTGACTAATGTTTATGCCGTCATTGGGAGATTCATTGTTTAATCATTATGAAGTTGTTAAAAGTAATGATTATCATATAGTGTGATTAGTAGTCATTGGTACGGTTATGTGGTGGTGTGGCTACGTATTAGATAGCAAGTGTTTGGTCTGTCAAGGATGTGTAGATTAGAATTGAGATTGATTAAATGATGGACATGATTCCTTGTTTGGGGTTCAGTGTGTCTTTTAAAGGATGTGTTGAGGTTAAATATTGTCTTCTCGGTGGTCTGGTGACTATTCTTGTCTCGGGCTATGGAGCCTTTTGTGACTGTGTGGAGTAGACTGATATTCGTTTTGAGTCGGGCGTAGAGCTTAGTTGGTCTTATGTTATGATGAAATGAGAGAGGAGTACCCGTATTGGGTTTTAGTGGCAATGGTGTGTGATTGCTTGGTGACATCCGGTGTCAAAGGCAATAATATTGGTGAGTTCATGGTTTTGGGGTTTTATGAGGCGTTCTTGGAAAGTGTGTAGCTGTGGGCTCTCTTCATAAGGAGGGTAGATTGTGATGTTTCCAATTTTCGGCATTTTTCATTTTTTTCGGGCCCGACGGTCTCGTGTGGGACCCACTACCGGAGTTGTTGCATCCGGGGATTTTAGTTGGGTCCATTTGCATCATATTCATTTTATTTTATGTGTTTTAGGTGATTGTGAATTAAATGTGTATATGTATGTGGGTGGTGTAAAAAGAAATAAAGATAAAACAAAAAGAAATTTTAATTTTTAATGGTGGGTCCCACCACCATCTTAAAAGGGCAAAGAGACCACAAATGGTCTCAAATCTCTCTCTCTCCTTTCATTTTCTTTTCATTTTTCTTTTTCTTGAGACTTTAATTTTCTCTTCCATTTTTCGACTAATCGGTCAAGTTTCTGGTCTAAGTTCCTTGATGGAAAACGTTCCTCTCATCGTTCTCTATCACATAGTCAAAGGGTTTATTTTTTCAAATGAGCGATGATTATTTTATGAATTTTTGAAATTTGTGGATCTAAGGCTTTGGATGGGGTTTTGGGCCACTTAGAGTTGGATTCCGGAGTTCACCCTTTGGTACAGTAGAATTACCTCGTCGACGGCTACGTTCCCACCGAACAGTTTTCCTTTCCGCCGCCATTGACCGGCGTTGACTTTTGTTGACCGGCGTTAACTTTTGTTGACCGGCGTTGACCGCGTTGACCGGCGTTGACTTTTCTGGCCAGGGATGTATTTTGGCTACTTTTGAGGTAGGGGTCTCTAATCCATACAATCTTGCATCTTAGTAAGTTAATTTTACTTGAATTATGTTCTAACATGCTAAATAGTGTTGATTGTATTTTGAAGTAACTTAATTTGAGTAGATGAAATATATGAACATGTGAAATAATCAAAACTGTATGACAAGCAAGCTCTATTTAAATTGATTGCCTTGAGAATGACATGATTGTTGTGTTAGAAAATCTATGCCTATGTGTTGATGATATTATAAGAAGCATGTCTATGTGTAATGGAATTTGTAATTTGTATGCCTAATTAACTTGAATTCTTGCAAGTTGTTTATGTGTTGTATGTATGTTAAAGGGAAGCATGATTACCTATTTTAGAGATTTGAATTGCAAAGTACGTGTGAAAGTTGTATGGTTGAATTAACGAATTGAAGCATGACGCATTTATGCATCTATTGGGAAAGGAAAATGGGAAAAATGTTTTGAAAGCAAATGAAATGATTTTGGGTAAAGGTTTTGAAAAATGTTTGTGAAAAACGGGACGCCTAGGAGGCGCCTAGTGGTCCGTGGTGTTAGTTTAGTCTAGAGGGGAGTATAGTTGAGCTAACTAGGCCGGATGCGACTCCTTAGAGGTGCCTTGTGGTCGTGGATAATTAACCAACCCTCTCCTCGTGACGCCATAGAGGTGTTATAGGTCGGATAACACTAACGATTTGAATGTTGAAACGAAAATGTTTCGAAAAATGGGGAGTGACATGAGTATGACATTGCAATTCATTGGCATATATGGCGTGATTGTGACTTGGATGGTATATGTGTTTATATTAGATGCTGTGGTTATGGTATACATTCCCGGTATAGTATGATCCCGTTCTCTTATTTTCTATTCTATATGTGTATTCACGGGGTCATAAGAAGTGTGTCTTAGACACTTCCTACTGAGCTTATACTCACCCCTTTATTATTAACATTTTTCAGGACACGGAAGGGAAGTGGCGGACGACGCTCCTCCACAGGGTTCGATGGGTCAGTGGACTGTTTTGACATATTTCGTAACTATGATCTCTTTTATTATTATTATTGCTACTGCTATTTTTTTTTTTAAAACCCTGTGACGACATGTATATTATATATGTTGATGTAAGAAAGGACGGTAGTGTCCTTAGTTGACCTCGGGTTCGGATAAAGACCCAGTTAGCGATTCGGACCCTCGGGTTTGGGTCGTTACAGATTTAATCAAAGCAATTCCTTGTTTGATGCACTCTAGGAAATTCGATTTCTAGGGCACAAATTGGGGGTTTTTGCTTAATTTTGAGGTAGGGGTCTCTAATTCATATTTTCTTATTCCTTTGTGAATTATCCCTCAATATTTGTTGCAAAGCATGTTTAATTTTGAGTTAATTGTCTTGAGGATGATATAAATGTTGTACATGAAGTCTATGATCATATGTGTTAATTGAATTGTACGAAGAACATGCCTAAGTGTTAATTCCCATGCCTAAGTATTTATTATCTTGTTCGAAATAACTATGTAGAAGCATGTTAAATTATGTAGTAGGAAATTTCTTTGTTTCCATGGAAATGGCAAAGTATGTGCATTCATAGCATTGGGCATGAAAATGTTCAAAGTTATTTGAATTGGAAAAAGAAAGGGGTTGTTGGGGAGAGATTTGATTAAATGGTGTTGAGAAAACCCGGTCGCCACAGAATCACCAAAGGGCCGGTGTATTAATGTAATCTAGAGAGAACTAGGGTAAACACCTTAGCGTGGTTACGCTATCTGGGCCCCAAATGATTCCGCAGAAGTACCAAGGGTCAGAGACAATAGCCAATCCTTTTCTCGTGTCGTTGTGGAGTCACCAACGGACGGGTTATATTAACAGTTTGAAAAGTGATGGATGATTTTAAAAATGGGGAGTGACATATACAGCATTGCATCCATGGCACGACATTTGCTTGTCTTGAATCTGAAAATTGATGTTGTGTTTTCCCCGGCTTAGTATGATCCCGTTCCCTATTGTCCTATTCATTGTTTGGATTCACGGGGTCACAAGAGGTGTGTCTTAGGCACCACCTACTGAGTTTCATGCTCACCCTATCATTTAACATTTTTCAAGGCTAGGAAAGGAAGCAGAGGACGCCAACCCTTCACAAGTGTGAGAAGAATTAGAAACCTATTTTTGCCACCTTTTGTATATTTATCACACTTTTGTAAAGTCCCAAAATCATAGTGAAGTGTATTCATTTTGCAAGCCATGGTCATGTATTGTAAACTATAACTTTTGTTGGTATTTTGAAAGGAAGCGAAATTATGTAATTATTTTATGAAGAATGGGAAAGGAAGTTATATTTTAATTTATTATTGATGCCTTTCAAATGTATATTGTCATGATTTGTTGCCGTGAATTCGGAATTCAATTGTATAACAGGTCCAATATAGGTTTAGCCTGTAAAGAGCCCAACCAGAAATCATTCCAGTGAGTTGAATCTTAGGAAGCCTTGTTTCGGCCGACTGACCCTCACCATCAGCCGACCAAAACCCAAGTTCGGCCGACCGAACCTCCTTCATCAGTCGACCGACAGGTTAATTTTGGAAAGTCCCGAAAGCATATTATTTTCACAATCATTTCAGCTGGCAGACCATGTAGGTCAGCTGACCGATCAAGCCTCGTCAGCCGGCCGACCAAGGGTTTTCAGCCGGCTGATTCTTTCCCTTTAACTTATGCATTTAACCATCTTTGTAAAGTAGTGCCCTTGGAGTATTTTAAACCCCTAAACCGACTCGTGTATCAAGTATTGAAGCAGGAAAAGACGGTGTTGTCCTTAGTGACCTCGGGTTAGGGTAAGGACCCGGTTAGCGATTCGGACTCCCGGGTTCGGGTCGTTACATGTATAATATTTTTTTTAAGAATTCTTGTTGCATTTTGTCCCAAGTTCCAATGGAATTATTTGGAAGGGAATGCAACCATGTTCTAACTTTATCTTTGAGAGGGAAATGAAAGAATCTCATCCTAAAAACATCATTAGACAGAGTGGACAATTTGGTAGTTGAACACAATTCTTAGAACTAATCTAAGTGTTTATAAGGATCTGCAGTAGCAAACCCATGGAAAGAAGGAAGCATTTGCATCATAGTTGGTTTGATCTCAAAATGGGATGCATTAGCATCCGGGAATTGAAAGCATGAGGGAGAAATGTATGATGTTGGACTGTAATAATCCCTCAGAGGTGTAGGAGCAGCTGCAAGTGGTACAGTAACTCCCAATGGATTATCACTATTATGGTTAGCCATGTTTGGATTAAAGGATTCTCCTAACAATTTAGAATTCTTTTTAGGTTTTCTAATTTACCTAAGAGTTTTCTCAATTTCTGGGTTGTATTCAAGTAAAGGGTATGACATGAAATGACGACCTTATACGCACTAAGTTTAATGGTAACAATTAAAAGAAAATTTCCAAACAAAGAAATAAATTAACAAAAACTCACAGAAGGTCATGAATTTATGTTAAGCCATAACCTATCTTCAGTTGGTACGAATTGTATACCTAACTACTCTAATCTATGGTGCAATACAACTCGTCTTCCCTAGGCATAGATTATCAAAACATTCATTCATAAAATAGTTTGAGCACTATTACATGATCACTATTCAAATCATTCTGAGAAGCCCTTAGCAGCCAATCTCAAATAATAAGAATAGTTTAGATTTGATTAAAGAAAAATCAATTTTAAGATAAGATATTAATTTCAGCAAAGACCAAGTTTATTAATTAAAACTCCAATTGCTTAGAAATCCTAAGTCAATTGTTCTTAATCATGCAATTAAAATACATAAATAATAAAAATCCCCAAAGTTAAAGTACAATCAAACTATATTATTCGGATTCGGGTTACAGCAAGCCCTGAGATGGAGTTTAGCTACTCATGGAGAGGAAGGATGTCTTCATTGATGTTGTAGAAGTCATCTCCATGGACCACCAACAACTCCTTTGGATCTTTTTTTTTTCAATCTTCAAAACCCTAAAAACCGTTGTGAGATATCTCTCTTGTATCTTATGTAATCTCCCCTTTTTCTGCTGAACATTTTCCTTTTTATATCCACATGTTGTAAGTTTTCCTAGAGAAAGGAAATAGAAAAGGTCCAACAAAAGAAAAAAGCTTAAATAGGTTTTTATATTTTTGTCAGTTTGTAATAATATTTTGACCTATTTAGATTACGAATCTGGAAACTGCTATTAGACACAAAAACGATGAGCTTCGAGTCTTCTTTTTAGAATCACTGAGTTTGCCTAATTTGGAGTTTTTGGTAAAAAGTTATGCCCAAAATATTAAAATGGGTTCAAAATTTCCTATTCAAGTTGTTTTCTTTGGATCTTTTTTTTTTCAATCTTCAAAACCCTAAAAACCGTTGTGAGATATCTCTCTTGTATCTTATGTAATCTCCCCTTTTTCTGCTGAACATTTTCCTTTTTATATCCACATGTTGTAAGTTTTCCTAGAGAAAGGAAATAGAAAAGGTCCAACAAAAGAAAAAAGCTTAAATAGGTTTTTATATTTTTGTCAGTTTGTAATAATATTTTGACCTATTTAGATTACGAATCTGGAAACTGCTATTAGACACAAAAACGATGAGCTTCGAGTCTTCTTTTTAGAATCACTGAGTTTGCCTAATTTGGAGTTTTTGGTAAAAAGTTATGCCCAAAATATTAAAATGGGTTCAAAATTTCCTATTCAAGTTGTTTTCTTATTCGAACAGGAAACCTTCTTTTCTTCGTATAATGACCCAAAAACGAATTTATCTTGGAAACTCCTTTAAAAGTCTTCTAAAATAATTTTTTGGGTCACCTTGCATACTCTAACTATTGCAATCTTCATTCGTTGATTGAATTGAAATACCTTAAAAATAACAAATAACGGAATTGGCTGAATTTCTAAAAATTACCTAAAAATAACAAAAATTAAGAAAATAATAAGTAATATGAAATAAACATTACTAAGTATTAAAATATATAAATCTAAGGGCTCAATGTGCACACCAAGCCCAAGGCACAAACATCCGGGACCCCAAGGCCATCAACCAAGCCCTCTGGTCCGGTGCTCAGGTAGAAACCGTGAAGAAATTCGACGTCGGCTCCAACAAAAAAGAGGCAGCGGCAGCGACAGCCGTGAACGCGAGGAAGCTAGACGAAGCTGGGGAACCGACAGCTCTGGAAAAAGTGTCGGTGGAGGTGAGACATGCGATACAGAAGGCGAGGATTGAGAAGAAGATGAGCCAAGCCGAGCTTGCCAAACAGATCAATGAGAGGCCTCCGGTGGTTCAGGAGTACGAGAACGGCAAGTCCGTGCCTAACCAAGCCGTACTGGCCAAGATGGAGAGGGTACTCGGAGTCAAGCTTAGAGGAAAAATATACCACAAGTGATATCATATCATATATATAGTCAGTAATCAGTATTATTCGTTGAATTTGAAGGCTAGGCATAGAGTCTCTCTGTTTGTATGAGCTGTGTTTGTGTGTTGTTTTCTTTAGTGGGTTTGTTTGTAAATGTTCCTACTTTGAATAGTCACCCTTGTAAAAAGGTGGGGCTATTGTTTATTGAATTATTGTTCTAAGTTTCTTATTTGCTATCAAATCATGTTCATATTGAATTTCTTCAAAAATAATACTCCCTGTTTGATACTTCATGCTTGTAATACAAATCTTAAAATTATAAATAAGTAATTATCTATATAATATGAATTTGACTGAAAGGAGGGCTATCATAAATGATAAGAGTATTGATGCTCACATCAAATACTTACTAGTTACAATGAACTCAATAATTTTTAATTAATTATTTATATCAAATATAATTAAGTAAAAAACAAATATAATTAAGTGAAATGTTTTAATTATTTAGTAGAAGAATAATTTTTCAAATGATAATTAATAAGTGAAAAAGGGATAATAAAGTTGATAGACCTGTGACCCCCTGTCTGAAAAGCTGAATCTTTAACTGGTGGCTTCATTCAAAAATGTGATTTGATCAAACGAGTGTCCATGTGATTTAACTGTGCAATAAATTCATGGACATTTCTGGACAACAACAATATGCTAGGTTTCTTAAAATTAAAATCTGTAGAGTTTGGTATTGACAATAAAACGATGATACAAAGCTGAATTTATTGAGAGAACAGGTATACACATTCACAGCCAGGGAGAATTATATATAGGGGTGACTACAGACTTAGTTTGGAGATACTTGTGAAGGGCATCCAATCCGAAGTCTCTCCCAAACCCACTCATCTTATAGCCTCCATAAGGACAATCTCGGTCGAAAGCAAAATAACAATTAATCCAAATAACACCAGCACGGATTGATCTTGAGACGGTGTTGGCCACGTTCAAGTCATTGGTCACAATGCCTGCCGCTAGCCCATATCTGGTGCCGTTAGCTCTCTCAATTGCCTCATTAATCGTCCTGCACAATTTTGAACAAACCAATCACTACCGATTCTTACTAGTATTTGCAAACCTTGATTTGCTTCCAAACACATAGACTGAACATTATTAAGAAGACTATGGGTTTTTCATAAGCTAACTTACTTGAACTTCATGAGTGACATAACGGGACCAAAAATTTCATCTTTCGCTATTACCATATTGTCCTGAGGTAATCAGAAAGAATAAATGAAAATCATAATAAATTAGACTACACAGAAACTGCAACTGCATATAAATTAAATCCTCACATTACATCCAGAAGCATGCAACTATGAAGTTGTAAGAGATTTACCATAACATCGACAAAAACTGTTGGCTCTATGAAGTATCCTTTCTCCCCACAAGGCTTACCACCAGTTAATAAGGTGGCGCCTTCTCTCTTTCCATGCTCAATGTATGAAAGTATTTTATCAAACTGTTTCTTATCCACCTACAACAATTAAAATGCACATTTCATCATATAGATCTGTTGTATATAGAAACTCTTTCTTGGAAAACAAACTCTCTTGTATTTGGAACAATGGTTGATTATTATATATGATATAGCATGGACTGACTTGTGTTTATTATAGTACTTGGGAATTTTTTTTCATTTTTGGCACATCATTGATTTGTTAAAAAATTAAAAAACTAAATATACAATCAACAAATCCTTTCATCATATTTATAGAAGTAGAACTTTTTACCTGGGGTCCTTGACGGACACTCGGATCAAAAGGATCCCCAACTACCCATGTTTTTGCCTTGTCTGCCAACTTATTCACAAATTTATCATAAATCCCTTCCTGAACGAAAACACGAGAACTTGCCACACAAATTTCCCCCTGGTGAAAAGAAGGAAATGTAAAAGACTTGCAATTATGTTTCTGAGCTAAAAAAAGAAGTTAAATTTGACACATAATTAATGGAAAATAAAAAGAAATACACTATATGTACATGCCTTGTTATACAGAATGCCCAAGAGAGCAAGATCAACAGCCTTATCAACATCAGCGTCATTAAAAATTATAAGAGGGGACTTGCCACCCAATTCAAGTGAAACAGATTTCAAATTGCTCGTCGCTGCAGCCTGCATTACTAGACGTCCTACTTCCGTTGACCCTGTAAAACTAACCTAAACAGACCATAAATTGGAAAATTATAAATATCGCACTGTTTTGTAGGGTAATAATATAGGCCAATAGAGGAAGAAAATTGGTAGAAAGTGAATTTGAGATCACTTTATCAATGTCCATATGAGAGCTAATAGCAGCACCAGCAGCGTGTCCAAATCCTGTTATCACATTGATCACTCCATCAGGGATACCAGCCTGATCCAAACATAGATTAAGAAAAACGAACTATCAGATGATCGTATGTATGGGCATAATTTGCCATGTGTGTTACAATTATATAGAGAACCAGCTGGTATACTTAAAGCAAAGTGGAAACTAACAAGCTTAGCCAAATGGGCATAGTAGAGAGCCGAAAGAGGGGTCTGTTCCGCAGGCTTCACAACCATGGTACACCCGGCAGCTAAGGCCGGGCTAACCTTCATGAAGAACATTAAGCTTGGGAAGTTCCAAGGTATGATATGTCCTACAACACCAATGGGTTCGAGCAGTGTGTATGCTTGAAGCTCTCTTGACATTTTCAATGTCTCTCCATGAATTTTATCTGCTGCGCCTGCATAGTAACGCAGAGTACCCGCTGCGCTAGGAATGTCCACTGTCTTGCCCGAATCGAACAACTTCCCGGCATCAATGGTATCCAAGATGGCCAATTCTTGCACATTTTCGTCAATTAAGTCGGCAAATTTCATCATTATCCTTCCCCTAGCCTGAACATTGAATCAATGGGTGCAGGAAAAAAAGAACCTTTAATAATGCTATATAAACAAAATTTGTATACAGAATTAACCATTTAGAATGATGTTTGTCAACTCTGTGTGTCTCTGTGGACTCGAATCGCTTCAAAACATATATATATCATCAGTAATGCCATCTATTTTTAGGGAGAAATATAGAAAACATGTACTCCTGTTTTATTTAACCTAAAGGAGTATATAATAGGATAAAAATTAAGATAGATGAAATTATATCAATCTAATTTGATCTAAAGTTCATGCACATGCAATATGATTTTTATTATTATAATTTAGAAATACATAATACTTAATATGATTTTTTGGTATGATTTTTTTTCATGTTCATAAAAATTCCTTCACAAAAATTATAGATTAATGAAATATGAGTAAGTTGACCATTTCTGTGAGTATTTATAGAGCACAAAAAATAAAAAATAAAAATAAAAATTGGAGGAAGGAAGGAAAAAACTTACATATCCAGATAAGCGAGGCCAGGGGCCATGGTCAAAAGCATCACGGGCGGCCTTGACAGCCAAATCAACATCTTCCTTATCTCCTTCTGCAATTCTTGCTATAACTTCCCCTGTTCTTGGATCTATGGTCTCAAATGTTTTCCCTATTCATCAATTTTTTTATTTTTTAAAAAACTGTCAAATCAGGCATGACAAAGACGAAAAAAACTACTAAGAAGTTTATCCGGTCCAAATCTAATGCATTTTATTGAGGGTTAGATATGAAATTAAATCATTTACGTATCTATGTCTATAAAATTTATTCTAATTATAATCAAATAATAAAAGAAGATCAGTATGGCTGAAATTGGACATTAATTTATATAAACAAACATGACCTCGCACTTTATTTGACGGAGTAAATATTTTACAAAAATAGCAATTAATATATGTCTACATCAACTAACGCCTCAATAACATAAAGATTTGCACAACCGTGAGCATGTATAAAAAATATATGTGTGTGTACCCGTACTGCTTAAAAGTGTGTGCAATAAATTTTAACAGATCGGAGAAGTCATTTTTTTAATTCTTTTTGTGGAACTATCTCATAGAATTTCAGCCGTTGGATTCTTTTTGAAGCAGTGAACTATGAACTTGAATTGTTGTTTAAATGATAGAAACTCAGCACAGATTGACAACCGCATATACAGAATGGCCTCGTAATTCATAGATTGGGTATCAATTTTTTTTTTTCCTCACTGATTGATTGAGATTTGAGAGAGAGAGCGTGTGAATAAGCGAACCAAAAAGAAAGTACCAAATAATGAGACGTGAAATTCATAAACCTGAAATGGAATCAACAAATTCTCCATTGATGAACAGCTTCTTAAACTTTATCTCAGGAATCTTAACGAAAGATTCCGAGCTCCCATTGCTCTGAACCGCCATCTGTCTCTCTCTCTCTCTCTCTCTCTCTCTCTCTCTCACACACACACACACACACACACCGACACACAGAATAGAACAGTAGAGCTGGTTGTTATCGGTGCGAGAGCGCAAAATTATAGGGGCATGTAACGTGCATATATAGGCATAGGCGGTGGAAAGAGCGTGCAGGCCTGATAAAATTAGTGTAGATACAGATGCTCAAATCAAAGCCGCCGCATAATCTGTATTCAAACAAATAAAAACTGATTTGAAATTTGTCAAATATTTAAAATTGTTTGACGACTTTAAACCCAACGAAATAAACAAATAAAAACTGAGTTGAAAATTAATAAATATTTAAATTTATTTGGCGACTTTAAAACCTAACTGTGCTAAGGTGCTAGACAAAAAATTGTCCTTGCCTCCCAAAATAATTGTGCCCCTCTGACTATTTTTGTTTTATCTTTTCAGTTATTATTACTTATTTTTCTTCTTTTTTTTTTTTTTAATAATTTTCTTTTTCCTAATTGATACCTAAATCATATCAAGTTAATGAGCAATAACATAAAAACAATAAAATATAAGTCACGAAAAATAAGAATCGAAGCAAGAGAGCGTGACACCTATTTCAAAGATTTATCATTTTTTATGACTTAGATTGATATTCACACACACTCAAAAAATTATTTGATACTTTCGAGACATGTGGTGGTTAAGTTATTATTCACTTGAGCTAAATCCTTAGAGTTGTCTATGAAACTTAAATACTATTAAAACTTGAACTTTCAACCTTTTCACATGTAGAAAAAATACAATTAAACTAAAACATTTAGCAATAAGGAAGAGAGTTTATATTATCACTAAAACAATGTTATTGCCGCATACTAAAACACATAAATACAGACATGATATAACACGAATACATCAACACGTCAAATTATAGAAAAGTAAAATACGAACGCAAGGTAGACAAAACTAATATAATTATAAATTTTCATTTAAATAAATATTGATCAATGAGACAGTCATAAAAGTTTAATTAATTTATAAATACTATGCCAACGTTACTTAAGTCAAAAGATATTGCTATTCGAATATAAAAATATATATTATATTATATACTTATATTATTATTCTTCCTATCACCTTATTATTTTTATCTTGTCTCAAATTAAATGGACACAAAATAAATGTCTCATTTAAAAAATTAATATATTATTTTTTATAATATTATTAATTTAATATATAAAAAGTAAATCATCATGTTATATATTATATATATGTTGAATGTTGATATTGTTAATTTTAGAAGATCACACAATCTCTGGAAGTATATATCTTAGGCTGCGCGCCTTAATGAGGGGGTCCCTTTGTAGAGTTTTGACTAAAGAAAAAAGTAGTACATTGAAAAGGAAGTGAGAATAGGTTAAGTCAGTAGCGTGTTTAGACATTTCCAATTCTAGAGCGTTTGCTTTCACAAGTCAGTCCTTTGAGGTAGGCTTATAAGTCATTGTTATCTTTTTCTGATATATATATATATATATATATATATATATATATCCGATTTCAGAAAGGAAAAAACAGAATGACCAAATGATAGCTAGAAACGAATGCAATGAATTAAGCAAGTGGTATGTTAGGTTATTGATCTGGCAAAATTTAGAAAACTTTTGACAAACATAGCTTTATTTTATTTTATTTTCCCATGAAATTTCAAATATATATTTTTTTGGTCGGTAATTTCAAAATGAAAGGGAATGACGTAAATTTCCATAAATTGGAAAAAGGAAAAGGAGAGAAGAAAAAAAAGTGAGGTCTTTCCTTTGGACCTACAATATTATATATATATATATATATATATTTCTCTCTCAAAGACTGGAGAATATGATGGAAAATAACTCTCATTTTATTAAAAAAAAACCTTTTACCAATAAAACATCTCCTTACTTTTGAGTATATGCTGGTAAAATTGAAGAGTTTTCTTTTGTCCTTGATCGACAGTGAATATATATATATATATATATATATATATATATACATACAATAATTATGAATAAAAAATGAATAAATTAATATATATTATCCAGAAGGGCGTCCATGAATGACATATAAAAAGTATAGTGTACTTTTTTTTTCAAACATGTATTTAATTCTATATTTGTGATTTATAGGAAGACGGGGGCTACTTATGTAGTGGTTGAATGATCGGAAGATGTCAAGTGGGATATTAAATGCCGTGGTATAACCGGGATCACAAAAGACCACGAGAGTCAAATATAACAACAGCGTGGCCACAATAAGGACTGCTGACTACTGTCGGCCATCAGGAGAGCAGGTCGTAGCAGCGAAATAAACTCAGAAATTTTCAATTGGGCTTCGCCAGTCTTCCGACTTCAGAGAGCCCACCATGCCCTCCAGAGCCGCTTGGGGCCAGATAAACAATTTTCATCAAAACTCTCTCTTTATCTAATGCTGAATTTAAAGGTGCATCAGTATAATATAAAAATATTATAATAATATGATGCAATTTTCCTATAAATGTAGTATTTCTCATTGAAATGAAAATATAATTATATAAAATGCATGCAATTTTACTATGAATGTAGTGTTGCTCATAAAAATGAAAAATAAATAAATAAATAAAATGCCACTCATTTTTTTTTTTTTTTTGGTAATTACTTGTATTTGTACTTAAATTATATTGAAAGGATATCATGTTTTGTATTTTTTTTTTTTCAGTGACAAAAAACTCACACACCCGCTTTACTTTTTAGGAGACTCGAACTCTCACCATTCACTTTAAAAGTTAGAAGAGATACCATTGGGCACAACTGCACAATGCCCTTGGTACTCAAAATATACATATCCTAACTTGGCAATGATAACAAACTTTATTTATCTATTTGAAGAAATGTTATCAATTTTATTATATTTTAAAATAATTCTTTCTAGTATCCAGCTTAGAAAATAATATTGGTTGACAGATTTTAATTTGAGTATGTTTGGTGACAACATTTAAAATTAAAAATAAATTAATATAATTAATTATTATTTTTAATATAAAATTAAAAATGGCAATATGACACTTCCAAATATAACATGAATAATGAATATAATAGTGTTGCATGTCTTGCATTTTGAATTAATGGTGTTTTTGTGTCAATATAGCAATGGCATAGGACAGTGGCACAGTTTTCAATCAAGAAGGGGACACAATGCACTTATTTTCAAAAAAATTCAATAAATATAATAAATATAATTTTTTAAAATCAAAAGGCAAACAAAAATAAAAAAATAGTTATAAAATAATATGTTAATTAAATATGGTAAAAAAAAAATGTAGTTACAAATATAAGTATCAAAATATTAATTAATAATATTTTAATTAAATACAATCACAATTGTCATCAAAAGTGAAAATATATATATATATATATATATATATATATATATAATGTACTTGAAGAAGGGCATATGGTGTACTTAAAAATTTTATAGAAAATCTTATTTAAAATTACTTAGTATATGTATATAACAAATATATATACCTATATGTAATAAGTTAGATCGATAAGGAACACGTGTCTTTTCTGGACCGTAATTGGCTATGCGGCATGCCCGCAAATGATAAACCTAGTCTTTAGCTCCGCGCCATCATCGGATGGGCTACATGGTTTTGCGTGCCAATCGATTCCGAAACGTCGCCAGAGAGAGAGACACACACAATTAATGCAACATACGATGTGTAATGGTCAAACAAGTGGGTAAAGACAATGTGTGTATTCTAAATTAAATCCCGTTGAAATTTATGCACAATTTTTTCTTGCTTTAAATAGTGAACACAGATTCAAAGTTTAAACAAATTGAACTTAGGGTTTAAGTGTAAAATATTACCATTATATATAGATTTTGTGCATAATTAATTTTTAGTTTCTAAAAATGTAAATATTAATTTATAAAATTTTTTTTAAAAAAAGTGCAAAAATATAAATACAAAAATCCAATTTTACCTTTTTTTTCTTCCCATTTTACCCCTTATATAAAATCAATTGTTATTTCTTCCAAAGTTTTGCTATCAACTACTTTGGCCAAGTTTCATTCTATCTATTAAATTCCGCGAACCCAAGTTCTGCTTGATCCACCAGTGATAGTGACCTTCGAACCCACCTCAACGAAACCCAGTTCAATCATCTTGTTCATTTAAGCTTTATTGCTCTACCTTATCGGTGACCCGTCATCGAAGATAGTTCAAGCTGAATTTAGCAACCCATCTCGTCTGGAGTTGCATTGAAGGCCGGTGAGCTCCAAGCAACACGAACAATTCCGGTTACAGAACTGTGAACTCCATAAACTGCATTTTCCACCATTGAGCTTCAACTACCAAATCAAGAAGCTCACAGCGAACAACAACCCAAATTCTGGCAAACCCAGTTTAGTTCGGCAACCTTCAGATTCACTCAGTTCAGCGTGCTCCAACTTAGCTTCATCAACAACAGAGAGAAAGAAATCGATAACGTCCACGCAAGCTCCACCATCTGCATGCATTATCACTGATGACCAAACTAATGAGCCTCAAAGATGAACCAACAGTGTTCTTCATTGAAGAATCATTCTAGCCAGAGTTACATATGAGACCCATTTCTAAAGTACTCCACTTCAAATCAGCGAGCTACACTTAAAGACTCAACAATTTCGATGATCTTCAGTTAGACCCAAAAGCTGCTCCAACACCATTAGCTCCGGCGAGCTTAGTTCAACAATTCGGCAAACTTCGGTCGTGAATTGTAGTGACCCAAAAGCTTCAATCTGGTGACAATCAGTTCGCGCGGTGAGCTTCAATCCTAGCATTCAATCATTTACTCTTCACGAAATCGACAATAATTGAAGCCTTTATCAACAATGAGATTTTTATTAGCCTTGCACTCTTGATTAGGCTAGTAGTTTCCCTCATGGTTGTCTTCATCATTTATCGATGATAAAATCCGATCATCAAGTTCTACTCCTTGATTTGAAAAAGGAAATTGGACAATTTAAGCTATAATTTTATTTTTTTATGCCAAATGGGTCAAAGATAAGGCTTCCCATTATATAGTAAAGCACTCTGGGACTATTGTTTTTTTTTACTGGGTCAGCCCAGCTTTGTGTGAAGGAAAAGACGAAACACTATAGGAAGAAGCTTAAGTATTAGGATAAATCCAAGTTAACTAATTCCAGTAAGAAGATTAAAAAAA